CTGTACAGAGGCTTAAAGTTCATAACTTTTGGAGCCTCCGCTATAAACAAATAGAATTGTGCGAAAACTATTGCACCTACAGCGCCCACTTTTGGCACACTTTTAAAGTATGACAAAACCCTCAACTTGTCATAGGTTTTATAAAATTTTAACAATAAATGCGATAGTTATAAACAAATGAAAAAATGGGCACTTTTCTTGTTTTTTGCAATAACTTTTTTGTTTATTAACCGATTTTAATTTAACAAGCCTCATTTTGTAGATAATTTTACACCCTATGAGCTGTCTGTGAGTCACTTTTCGCTAAAATTGATGGTTTTCCCTGCAAAGTGAAAAAACTGTTTTCCTCACTTATTTGTTTAAATAGAAAAGTTAGCTAATAAAAAATGTTTGACTCGTGAGACGAGAGATGTCTTGTATTATGTTCCTTTAGATAATTTTACAATAATCTCGCGGATAGGACTTTGTTCAAGTTTCTCTTTTATTTTCGCTAATTTTCCTGGTGTATGTATCCATCATTCACTAGTGAATAATTAAATTATTATTCACTAGTTTAAAAGCGCAAGTGGTAGAGTATCTATCTCACGCGCAGGAGAGCGTGGGTTTAATTTTTGTAGCATTTATACACATTTTATTTATTCTTTTTTTTTGTTACAAAAAGTTGAATATGAAATATAGTAGATAAAGATTATAAGAATGTTTTATTTTACGAATATAGTCTAGTTTCAGCAATAAACAAATAAAAAATAAAACGATCTATCACTGAGCGACAGAGGCTATTTTTCAACGAATTCATCATTACAAAAATAAAATGTCTAGAGACAGTGAATTTAAGCGGCGAAAATTGCAAGTTTAAATTTATTACCAGAAAAATTTAAAAAACGTTTTTCATAATGGAGGACTGACAAGAAAATTAAGTCTATTTCAGAATCGGTTTTGTTATTGTTAAGGAGTACAATTAACATAAATCGATAAAAATAATAATAAATCGAATAAATATGATATTGATATTGAAAACTATAATAAGATTCCCTTTAAAATAGAATTTTGCTGGTTTTCGGGCTAAAAAAGCCAGTACTTTTTCTCCGAAGGATATAAATAAATTCATTACGGAAGCTTGTAATTAAAAACGAAATGTACACTATGACGATCGAAAATTTATAAGATCTGTTTTGTTGGTAAAAGTACCAAAAATCAAAACCAAAGTTATCCGAAAATTTACAATCACATCTTTTATCTAATATAGTAAAAATAAGTACATCAGCCTCCGTCCACCTCAATCATATCTAATATATTTTTTTAACTATCAAAATGCTAAACGCACGTGACAAATGATAGGTATTAACTTTACACAAATGGAAAAACAGATTGCAACATTTCTAAAATTGACCAGCCTAGAAAAATACTCAGGCCATAGTTTTCGCCGATCTTCTGAGACTATCCCGATAGAAGCAGGCGCGGATATAACCGCCTTCAAAAGACATGATGGTAGCTGGAATACCTCGATGACTCCATAAATAATAAAATGAAAATAGCAAATAAAAATGCTATACAACAAAATACTCCTAATCCAATCAATCAAACTGTATCAACAAATAACGAAAACATTAATATAGAGTTCAATCATCTATTAATTTAACACACTGTGTAAATTCATACATTTACCATTAATGTTAATAAATAAATCGTAGCATTGTTAAATTAGTTATAAATAAATCAAAATGTTAGCCAGATATTAATGAAAGTAAAATAATTGGAATAAAATATATTTTTTCTACAAAAGTCAAAAAATGACAAGGTTTGCGCCTTGACAATAATCTGCGAAGTGACACTTTTTTTCGGATTCTTACGTTACCATGACACCGTGCGCGAAATACTTCGCGCACTAGGGTGCGAAGTATTTCGCACACTGCATGTAAATTAATAAGAGTTTTGTATTTCAATCTTTGAAAAAATGAAGCAAAACTCCAAATTATTATTTATTTTTAAATGAATAACAATTAAATACTTTTAAAATAATGACAGAATTTTACAATAACTTTAATTATTATTTACAATATTAACATTAATCGTACAACCAGTACACGAACCAATATTTATTCCTAAACCAGATAATTGCTTTATTTGTTTCACACCACTCCTTAAATTGCCGATATGCATTTTCATATTGGCGCTTCGATTTTTCCGGTAAAAGATTTGAAGTTACCAAATTGGCCGCATCTGCCAAATTAGGTGGGATACTACTTAGTTCATCGTCACTAGCAATTTCCATTATTTTAAATAATATCTGGCACTTAAAAATTGAAGACGCGAGCACAAACGTCACTTTAAAATAATTATTATTGTTGTCAACAACAGCCACTTTGTTTCCATTCCAGTAACAGTGAAAATTTGATTAGGAAAAACATTTTAAGCCAGCTCAACACTATTTTCTATAATAAATTAGGCATTTTACTTATTTATAATATTTTTAAGAGATAGATTTTGACGTTTGTAGAAAAAATATTGTTTGCAACTCGTGCGCGAACTACTTTGGTGGTCTCGAATAATTTTTTAACTCGGCTTCGCCTCGTTAAAAAATTCAATTCTCGATCACCAAAGTAGCATTTCGCGCACTAGATACAAAAATAACTATTGTTTACTTTTCAGAGAGCTGTTCACTCAAAGCAGACAGAGGAATACCGTGTTCACATTCATCACTGAATTATTCCACCCCTACAAAATGGGCTTATGTTATGAGTGTAGGCGAGTGTCGCCAACTACACTACTTCGGTTGTGGGGGTAACGATAACCGATTCGCGTATAAAAAGGATTGCGAACTAGTGTGTGTCGAAGCTACTGGTTTTGGTAAGCACAAAGAGTGAAGAAATATGATAATACAGGGTGACCAAAAATGAAACCTCGTATTCTTTGGTGAATTTTAAGGGGAGTCTTTCCTATGAAGTTTTTATTTAGGACGCTTCGTTAAAAAGATACAGAGTGTTAAACTTCAAAAAATATTTTTAATTTTTTTTTTGATAATTTAAAAACTAGTAAGTGAAATAATTTGAGCACATGTATTTATGTAAACATTGTCCAATATCTGAGGGCTTTTTTTAAAATTTACATGTCCCAGTGGCGGAGATACAGGGTATCGGTAGCATATTTTTCTAAATAAAATAGTACGCCAATGGCTTTACGGTAACAACCACGATATTTTCGGAGTCGCCTTTCAATTTTATACAAATTATTACTCTCTTATGTTTTTTTTTAAAAAGCCTGATTTTTGAGTAAAACTTAAAAACTAACTAAGAACACACTCTGTACTTGAATATAATGCTTTTTAAAATTACATAGTGGGCTGCGATAGCAACTTTGACATTCTGAGCAGTTAGAAGGAAGAATAAATAACACAGCCCCACAAAAAAAAAGTGGCAGGTCCGAAAGTCAATACCATGGGATCAATATGGTTTTAGAGTCGCTGAATCCGAATCCGGTGTTCGTTTGACTCGATCAGATCTGGTTCAAGTTTAGTTCAAGGTCAAATATAGAGAAGCAATTGCCAACAAAGTATACCAATATATTTATACGTTTTTGGGGTCGCAGAAAACGAATCCGATGTTCGTTTAATCCGATTAGCTCTGGGTTAAGATCAGTTTAGGGTCAAATGTAGAGAATCAATTGCCAACAAAGTAAACCTACATATCCAAACGTTTTACGTTTTTGATGTTGCTGAATCCGAATCCAGTGTTCGTTTGGCCCGACCAGGTCTGGGTTAAGGTCAGATCAAGGTCAAATGTAGAAAATCAATTGCCAACAAAGTAAACCAATATATCTATACGTTGGGGTCGCTGAATCCGAATTCGGGGTCTATTTGATCCGACCAGGTATGCTAAATACTCTCAAGTTCTAAACTTAATCAAAGTAAGCAAGGAGTTTTTGTGAATACGGATTGTTGGCCCAGTATTATTATGATGATTCTCATTTGCCATTTATGTTGTTCGTATTTGATCCTATGTAAGACTATCCTCAAATTACGGCACTCTTGCTTCAATGTGCTACAGGTATGGCTGCACACTTGTATTATGCATTAGAACAGCTTTCTTGCTTCGCTTTGACGAATCAATGAACAGTCCACTCTACTCGTTAGGTTTGTAACATCCATGTTTGAAGTGATTCATCCAACAATATATCCCAAGGAAAATTCTTCATCGTTAGAAAAATATTCCTTATTTCTGTACAGTAAAAATCTTTCACTTTTTCCGGCTTGCTTAATATTTTTTTAGCCTTGATATTAGGAACTCTGCTCTATTCTCTGCCAGGCCCAAACCTCGAACATCATTTACTTTTTTGTGATATTGTTATATATATATATATATTGTTAGATATGGTATATATATATATATATATTATATATACAGAAGTTCTTTCAGAACGTGATATGGAATATATTCGTCGTCACTAGTATCACTAGCAATATCAGTGATAGTTTCATTGCCACCCAAATTTCCTCCTTCTTTAATATCTTGGCGAAACCTTTCTCTCTGCTCAAACCCAATCAAATTTTTCACTTAGGTTTAAAACCAAAAGACTGATCAGTTCAAACGGACATCAGATTCGGATTCAACGACCCCAAAAAAGTATAGATGTGTAAGTTTACTTTGTTTTCAATTAATTCTCTACATTTGACCTTGAACTGACCTCAACCCAGATCTGAGTGAGTCAAACGGATATCAGATTCGGATTCGGCGACCCCAAAAACGTATAGATACATAGGTTTAGTTTATTGACAATTGATTTTCTACATTTGACCTTAAACCAGAGCTAATCGCGTCAAACGGACACCGGATTCGGATTCGACGACCCCAAAAATTTATAACGAGCGTTCAAATAAAAACGTGGTCGAAGTTGGCTCTGACACATTGGACGTAGAGAGTAGCTTATAGCGACCAACTTAACCTCATTTCTCAACGAGCTGTATAGCAGCTGTCAGTTTCAATAACGTTAATGACTATATAACTTTATTTTAAAGAATAATCGTGATAACAATAACAAACAATTAAAGGAGCTGCGGAAAG